GGATCGAGATCGGGAAAATACGCGCGTGCGAAGATCTACGTGTGAAGATTTACCCGCCGAAGATCAACTAGAGGTACTTCCGGAAGATAAATGCGCCGATGCGCCGCAAATCCTGCGCCGGAAACGCTTTTCCTGGCGCGCGGCTCGCTGCGGCTGCGACACATCGATCGTCGATGCATTTCGACGGCATGGACGCAATTTCCGGCGTCAAAGGGCCAAGGTCGGCCCCACTTAATCATGGGATGGATGTCCGTCTTGCAGGCACGCAGAACACCCTCAGGTCTGTTCCAAGAAAACAGAAAGTATTTTATGTTATCTCACGAGGAAAGAAGTAGGTAATTTTTAACGAGGGTATATTTATTAGCTAGGTCTTTATTAGATATATTAGAGAATGTATTACATGTACAGAAGATACGTAAAAAGGGTAGAATCACGAATATGCAACACCAATGCATTCGTATGTTGCATACACTGAAAAAAATTTACTGAATTTTAAATTTTAATGTTTCTTTAAATAGTATTATGTAAACGTTTACTTAATAGAAAAATGATAATTAAATCAAATGAATGGTTTTTGTTAAATAAAGATGCGTTTACATTTAGTAAATATTTATTATATTCAAATAAAGAACTTAATAAGTATTTAAATAAATGTTTATTGAAATTTAGTATTTTTTTCAGTGTAGATCGATAAAGTTGTGTAGGCTGAAACAGATAAGATATGAAATCGATATAGTTTCTGGATCAATATTTTATAAAAATCAATTTATGATGCTAAACAGGTATAACTATCAGATATCAAAGGAGCAACGGTAACTGAAAGGAGAAACGTTAACCTTAAGTTAAATGACATTTTGTTATTATTAACTTCCGTATGTGTCAAAATATAAATTAATTCATTTCTATTGTTAGTTTTAAAACAAACAACATCCATATTATCGTTTGCACTTAGTTAATAATAAACTAAATTCGAGTCAAGTTTAATACATTTCTTGAGTTAAATTGTTTAACTTTATTGCTTTAGTTAAATTAATTACATGTCGTATAAGTCGCGACTTATAGAAATGATTAAAAATAACTCAAAGTTAATAATTATTACATTATTTCGATTTAATTGATATTTTGAGTATAATTTGACATTATGAATTTAACAGTATTACGACATTCTGCAAACAGCTCGACGTTTCCCTTAAATACATATATACAACTTCCGTTATATCAGACTGCTTATCAAAAAATATAAATGCAGTGAGATGATACTTGCCCATCGTTGAATATTGCATTGTCTCGGCAGATAGCTCGTTAAAGAGCTCGTGGATTTTCTTAATGAAGAAGCGCTTGGCGTATACAGTAAATACGTGTATATAGGTAATTATCTAGTCCTTAAAGTTAGTATGTTATTATTAAGACCGGCCAAAGGGAATCTTTCTGTCAGAGTACCTTCAACACGCGGGTTTAGTTTGGCTTAATAAATGTGGAGAGAGAGGGAAGTGAGCGACGTGTAATTAAACGGTCTCCCGTAATCGGGCTTATAGTCGAAGTAATTACTCGTCGCCGGATTTGGTCCGATTTGTATGCATTGCAACAAATCTTGTGCCTTGATTTCTAAACTCTCTCTAATGAGCAATATAATAATTCAGCAATTGCCGCATAAAAATCATAATAATTAATATCAAGTAAAATCTTAGTAGCATATTTTTCATGTATTTATATAAAATACGAAAATGGTCGACACTCGAATTTATTTCTAATTTCCATAGCCACAATAGTATTTCTTATATTATTTCTCTTTCATGTCTTCTTTTGTTGAGTCAGAATCGAGTGCTCGCAGGAATTGCTGGAAGTTGCTCGGAAACGGAAGACGTTTCCACTAATATAACGCTGACACGTCACAGTTTAAATTGTTAGCCGAGAACCAGACATAATTTTGTACATGCCGGGTATATATACACGTGCATGTGCACGCAGATGTGTCCCAGGAGCTTTTTAAACGAGATATTATTCAGTATCCTTCGGGTCGAGCGGGTAAACCCGGTAAACACGGAGATGCAGCTTTTGCGGATCTGTATTCCGGCGATTAATATCTCATTTAAGGGAAAACGGGAAATTACGAAACCGGGGATACAATTAGGACGTGTCCGTGATGGCGAAATGAATTCTGTCCCGGTCAGGCCGGACCGGTGCATTTCGAAATGCAGCGGAAACGCGGAATCGAATTTGAACGGCAGATATTGCGTCGCGCACCGCGACAATTTCATCGCGAATGCGATTAATTAGGCGTTTTTCGTGCCGCATTACGCGGCGTTATTTCACCAAAAACGGGAGAAAACGGATATGGGAATATTGAATTCTCCGTTTACATCGTGTTTATCGCATCAGCCGTTTTGACGTATGGCCGTTTTATGTATCGCATTTCTATCTTTGAGCGGGATATATACGTGTACCCCCGTGAAACATAATTTCCAGCGATACCAATGAAAGCGCGGATTAAATCTGTTAACAGCCGCTCGAAACTTGTAAATCTCGCGTTGGAAATCTCGGTTGAGGAGATTTTCCAATTTTCCCCGGTGCCTATTGATTCCGCACGGGCATAACACGATTATCGTTCGGCGAGAGTGCAGAGGCGGGGAGGGAATCGAATTAATATCAGAAACTCTCCGCGATTTGCGCGAATTATCGTTTATTACCACCAAATGAAGCTAAAGCGTCTCCGGGAGTACGCACCGCGCGCGTATGGATTCTCTGCGAAATGGAACACGCGGGATTTCGCGATATTCTCCCTTTATATCGAACTACTGTTTGCCACGAGCTCTTCCAGCAATTGCGATGACGCTCGATTTAAAGACCGGGGAATCGGAAAGCGCGCGCGCGCGATTTTATTCTCGCGCTGTTGAGCTCTATGATTAACTCCAAATGAATGAAAACCGTGAGAACATCCCTTTCTGCGCGTCGCGTTGCACCTCGACGACTGGTATTTAAACTCTCGAAGGCCCCGCGATTTTAATCCGCGTTTTCAGCTACGATAAGCGTTCGCGGGCTTGGTACGTTAGAGAGAAAAAACGAGGCAAGAGATAACTGTTAGCGATTCTTTTTCTATCTTTAATATGTTATTACATTAACTTGGCGTACTTACGAAACGTTCTTCTTCGTGTATATCGTAAAACGAGTAGATACAGATGAAGGGATATAAAGAATGTTACAAAATATAAAGAATCTTACAAAGGACGATTGGTTCCAAAAACTAATTTTGGATGAAAAAATGTACATTGATAATGAAATTGTAGTGAAATTAATAATTACAGTAAAGAAATTTTCATAATAATTTAATTATTAATATATGTATAAAATTTAATGTTAGATATTAAATTTTATAATTAAAAATAAAAAATGTAAAGCATGTTGCAAAATCTTACAAAGGTCGATAAGTTCCAGAGATTAATTTTGGATAAAAAGATATACATTGATGGTGAAATTGTAATAAAATAAATAATTGCAGTAAAGAGAGAAATTTCCATAATAACTTAATTTTTTAGCTATTAAATTTTATAATTTTGGTACGAGACAAATACAATTTTTATATTTTTTATTGTAATTAAAAAATATTTTTGCTGACTTATTCTTAAATCTCTCTTTTCAATTTAATTTAAATTCCTTTGAAGAAAACTTAATATATGAAATGAGCAAGATTATTGATTATATTATACATATTTTAAAAAATTAGTTTTTATTAAGAAGATAGATATATATATGTATACATATTACTAAAGATGTTATTAATTAAAAAATAATGACAAAAAGGAAGGATATAAAAGGAATGATAAAAAATAATGACAAATAACTGAAAAAGAATTTAATTTCTTTCTTCTTTTAATATTAGTTAACTGTTAACTCATTTTCGCAAACTAAATTTTCTAACGAACATGTGCGTTAAATTGAATACCGGACCGTGTTGTGAGAGAATAGACGAAATTTAGTTACTTCGGAGTCACTTGAAAATGCATTAGCTTTGAAGCAACCGCTTTATTTACATCTTGGATTGTACACTGCTAAAGTCTCTTATATCATCTCTTACATTGATTTGAGAAATCATGATTTGGTTTATAATTTATTATTAAGATTAGAAATAATTATTTTTTAAAAACGTTAAATTATTTTCAACTTACTGTAAACAATTCATAAGAAAATGATATCGTTTTAATAATTTTGTCTAAATTTTAATATAAAATATAAACCACTTATCGCGCAATCGTTTATTGATAATAAACACAGAAATTAATAGTTTGTCAATAATTAGCATTTGTCACCATTAAAAGAATTTTATTTTGACGAATTTATAAATGCTATTTTGTTTATTTATACACTGAGAAAAAGTACTTAATTTTAATGAATGATTGTTTGAATAATACTAATCTAAAATTTATTTTTATTTAGCAGAATAAATATTTGCTAAATAAAAAAATCAAATTAATTGTTCTTGTACCGAATAAACATATGTTTTTCATTCAGTGAATATTCGACAGGCGTTTAATAAATATTCAGACAAATATTTATTAAAATTGAATACATTTTTCTGTCAGTGTGGAATTAAAATACGACTATATGGTAAATTTTAAAAAATAAAGGATAATATTCTTGAATTGCGGCATAATTGAGAGTCCCTTCATTATTCAATTACGTTAATGAAAATCAGTAAAATCTGATTGGTTATAGACTGATTATTCACTTGGATTAATAGATAAAATCCCGATCAATCGGTTAGTCTGATTGATGGAGATATAGAGATAAATGAATGAACGTTGAGGATGAAAAAAGATTGGGTCGCGTTTGAATAGTGCGCGTCGACGCGCCATATCGCTTGGGTGACGTAATGAAAGCGTGCGTTATTTGGAAAATAAGAAGGCCGGCACTGGTGGAGATCGATATGGCGACGACTCGACGAGCGCCGCGCGAATTCTCTATATTCCGGCAGGCAGCGATATATTTCGCATGGGACAGGCCGCGTAATCGGGTCGCAGCGGCGGGCCGTGGGATCCCGGAATTCCTGCACGCAGTCGGAAAGAAGACGCGGCGTACGTTCAACCGCGTTTGAATCCGAGCGCCCTTCGCGCCATTCCCCGCGGCAGATGCACGAAGGTCAAAAGTATTTTAAAAATAAGGCCGTAGGCATTGGCAGATTGGTATGGCAGTGGACGTTAAGGGTCGGGTGGCGTTGTAATGGCAAAAAGTTTGCGAGAGGTGAGTAATCGACGTACGGGAGATATTGGAGAAGCGGGTATCTCGCGGTGAGTGATACGCGACGGCGTAACCTGCGTAGGATCCGCGTAAATAAAGCGGTGCGAGTTAAGGTAGTACGAGTGGCTAGAAAATCGGGCATCAACAAATCGTCTTTTCGCGAGGAGGCTCGTGGAGGCTAGACGAGCACGGCCGACAATGGCGCCCAAGCCACGCGAATATTGACATTGCCAAAAACATCATCTCCGAATATATCGGATTATAATCGTATACGTGGGTGGTACGTACTGCGTCGCAATTAGCGATCTAACCTCGCGGGCGGCCCGTGGCCGTGGCCCATCGCTTAGAATTTCGAGCGCGGCTTACCTCGTTCCGGCCGTTAAGGTTATGCGAAAAAATGTTTTCTGCACGTATAGTAGCGCGGCGTGAACCCTGAAGGGTTTTACAGTTATACTGCAATGTGGCACATTTGCAGAAGCGCGGAGGACGTTGTGTGGGTCTAGAGAGCCGCGGTTTAATCTGCGGGGAGATATTGTCAGGACGATAGGAGAGTGCGCGTGGAGAAAGTGTGTGAGTTTAGCGATTTTTAAGGGTTAGGGGATCACACAAAATTCGGTATAGCCAGGGTGATAGCATAGCTTTTATGTAGACAGTTTTGGCCAACTAGTTTGGTTGTAGGGTCGGGATTGGAGATAGACAAGATGGACCAGCAGTATTGTCTACGGTGGAACAATCATCCAGCCAACCTCACAGACGTTCTCAGCTCGCTGCTTGCCAGAGAAGCACTCTGTGACGTTACCCTGGCCTGTGTTGGAGAGACCTTCAAGGCGCACCAGACCATACTCTCTGCATGCAGTCCGTATTTCGAGAGCATTTTCCTGCAAAACACCCATCCCCATCCAATCATATTCCTCAAGGATGTCAATGACACGGAAATGAAGGCGTTGCTGCACTTTATGTATAAGGGCGAAGTCAATGTTAGTCAGCATCTCCTACCGATGTTCCTTAAAACAGCAGAGGCATTGCAGATCAGAGGCCTCACCGATAATAGTGTAAATAACAAGGCAGAGGACAAGTGTCCATCACCTGATCCAGAAACGCAAACTGGAGTAAGACATAGCGATTCGCCTAACCTCCAGTCTCATCATGAGAAGAGGAAAAGAAAGAATTCAGGCAGCTACGACGTTTCCCTTTCTGGCCCACCTAGCGAAAGATTCTTGTCTGATTCTCAGGTAGATATCGTACTCGTTTACTCTCTTCTGTAACTCTGTCACGAGATAGGTGTCATTATTTTTATTCATCGTAACACATGTCATATTAAATATATCTTAAAACTTGATTAAGAAAAATTATACAGAATTGAGCAATATAAGTATTCTGAAAATTGATGCAAACATAATTTTTTGTGAGCATTCTAGATTCTCTTTGGTCTCTTTGGATACAATTTTTATTTTATCCATTATGTTTGTAACAATATTAAATATTACATTACATTTTCACATATTAACTGTATAAAATAACATACATGCAATATTTTTAACAATGTAGTTTTTTTAAATAAGTTTATATGAATACTAATTTCTGTTTATATATCATTATTCTTGTGCTACTGCTTAAAATTCTGGTTGATTGTGGTCTCATACATATTATCAACGAATTATACATGTGCTTGTGATTGCACAGCTTTCTAAATAACTTTATAACCTTGAAAAGTTCAGGCCAATATATACTTGCTGTATAGTTCTCGAGACAGTTATCATCATAATTAAAGATCCCATATCTGGCCACGAAATGACAAACTTTTGATTGACTGTCGTTTTTGTCAACTTTGGTAAGTTGGAATGAGTAAGGTCGTATATGTAAGTTAGAATGAGATGGCATGTATAAAAAGAGACAGTACATATACTCTTCTTTTTCACTCTTGTTTTGACAAAATTGCTCGTGGTCAGACTCTGTTATAGAGTTTCTAATCATAATGTATTTCCTATATACTTTTATTTATATATTTTGACGAAAGACTCACATTCAGAAAAAGATGTAATCTGTCTTCCAAAACGTCAAATGCAATTTTATTACAAGTACATAATAGTAAATGTTATCATATATATACAACAAAAACCTAGTCAGTTTATTATAATAAATCCATCTATTACATTTTTAAGCAAAAGAAATAACCTACCGATAAGTTTTTATTTAAAAAAAAAGTTCTTAACCTCAAATCTTACAATTAGTAATCATGTTGAGGTACAGCATTCAGAGAAAGATGAAGAAAATTTTTTTTGATTGATTATTTTCAGACATCTTCGCAGTGTAGTTACAAATCAAGTCCTCCTGTGATTCCAAAGTTAAATAATGCCCTGGGAGTTGAGATGGAAGATGGTGGTCGACCCATGTCCCCTGCTTCACAACCGCAGGCTCCTATTAAACAAGAGGTGGATCACCACTTGCCTGACTTCCATGACAATATTTCCCTCCCCGTAAGTAATTTTCGACATTTATGTATTTCATATTTTAGTTTTGATTAATCATTTCTTTCTATTTCTGCCCTGCACATATGTATTCGCTTTGCTTTTTCTTGTGCATTCGTTTAATAATGTAGAATACTAACTTTATTAAAAATTTTTTTAACTTTTTGCACGATCTATGTTGTTACATGCAATAAGATATATGTGTATATATAACCTTGCTGGTGAAGAGTTGATTACAAGTACTTCAATTTATTTGAAAGTATTATTGATGCAGTTAAAGGAAATTATTTTTTGATGTATTTATCGTGATTGCATAAAAGATAATAATGATAAGATTGTTTATGTTCTTGGTTTCTTTATCTAAAGTCACATGCACTACAAAAAAGCTTGGGAAATTTTATTGTTTCTTATCTTATTATATTTATCTCTAGACACGTAATTTTCAAGTAATTATGTAATTATGCATTACTAGTTAATACATTATTTCTGTAAGATACTTCTTTGAGAAATACTTAAATATTAAAAGAATGCACGTGTAAATTGTTTGAACATTTTGTGGTGTGTAGCGTTCGCGTAACAAAAGTATTATTATTACCCTATCATTATTATAGCATGTAACTTAGATTCTGTGTGTCTATTAAGATATTTTTATTTTATATCCGCATTTTTTCCGAAGATGCTGTATGCTTCTTCTCGCTTAAAACACTTTGCACAGTCGTAAATGAAGTGCAAAGTTCTCGTGATATATCATGAAGATAATTGTCCCTATAACAGAGTTTCGTTACTGTTCCCACAATTGATGACGATTACCTACCGTCGTCCTATAGTCGAAACAAACATGGGAAGGAAGGGATTTTTCTAATTAGAGATTACAGAATTGGCTTTTTCTGCTAAAAAAAAATTGGTCGAGATGTGTTGATTAAGCACATATCCTTTCCTTCTCTGTTGACAGACTAATATGGAGTGGGAGGTTCAAAGAGATGGGAAGAGTGACGAAACTATGGATGTACAGAACATGACTTCAAATCGTCCAGATTCCGCTGGGGTGCAGGTTTCTCGCGAAAGTGCCATCATGGCTGGAGGTTCTCTCTATGTCGATATGTCGGGAATTGCGTCTGAATTCCCCGGAAATTCGCATAATCCGCTAAGTCAAGCCATACCTATGAACACACACCATTCGTATAAAAGCAATAGCATTGATCAAACCCAGTCGTACGAGTCGTTACCCGAATATCCAGTTGCTAAGAGACTTGAAAGTGATAGATCGTTACAAATAAATCAGGAACCAGGATTGTCTGTAATTCAACCGACAATTCAATGCACAAACTTGCAACGTACTACTCCGCATAATAGAAAGGCTGGTAAATTTAAACCGGGATGGTTAGGCGTGTATTCCTGGTTGCAGTATGATGAACGATCGAATCTTATGTTTTGCAAATACTGTAGAAAGTGGAGCGAATCTATACCAGAAATTCGTACTTCATTTGCTGCAGGAAATGGCAATTTTAGACTAGAGATCGTGAACCATCATGATAAATGTAAAGCACATAAGCTGTGCGTAGCAAAAGAAAACGAGGAAAGAAAACATTATACTTATATGACAAAAACATGCTAGCCTTGATACCTATTGCATTCTATCTGGATCTGTTAACTTGTAATTAATTTCGCGCTCATTTAATATCTAAAAGATATCGTTTACAAATGTTCAACGCGTTTATATGAAATACATAACAATTTTGAGAAATTCCTGTCTTACTAAATCGCAACAAAATTTAAGCAAACTTAAATATTTGTTTATTTTTAAAACAAAATGAAACACACTTGAACTTGTAACAGAATATGTTATAAGTGCATTGTCAGGGTTGCCATAGACCTGGAAAACCGGAAAAACCGCAAAAAGTTAGGGGAAAATATGTAAAAAAGTCTGGAATATCACACAAACACAACACACACAAAAATTTGCTCACATTTTCTTAAACTGCTCCTATTCCAAATAATTGTTATAATTTTTAAATATTATATCTGATGTTCATAGTTCAAAACTTGCGCACTTTAAACGATTTTAACAAAATAATTAAAATTTATATTTTATTCAGTATTTTTATTTGAGCCCTCTTTTTCCCTCGTAACTGCATTCTTTTCTTCAAAACTAATTTATTTTTTGCTGGCTTGAATTTGCACCCAAAATTTTACTATGCTACTAAGCTTTTTTGCGTTTTCAATAATATAGCTTTGTTATAATCTTTGTTATAATCTAAATGTTAAAATTTGCATTAACCGTTATAATTTTTTTAACTATTATAATCTCATTTTTTAGAGAAATCTATGGTAATATTTGTGTGTAATTAGTCAAAGAAGCGCATCTATTTTTTTCTCTTTTATTTCATCGATAATTTAGAATTTTGCACACGTCAAGTATTTCAGCTTTATTATATTAAAAACTAAAATTAGACATTTCTACGATAACTCGATTTACTGTAGAACCACCTTAACTATCAGATTTCTTACAATTGAGTACTCTCAAATCTTCCAAAGATTCCTCTTCCCGACTTCTCTTACATTTCAGTCGTTTTTACTTTTAGATTGTATTTAATTGTAGTCATTTTATTGCATCAACAATATTACAAAGAAGTTTACACTTGTTAAATATATTTTCACAGATGCGAGTTTTTATCATCAAATAATTTTATCACTGTTAAAATTATTATTGCTTATAAAGTTAAAACAGTTTATATATGTACATTATTTTATTAAAAGGACAATGCATAATTATGCATATATAATGATGTTGATATAGTAATTCTGTTAATGCATTTAGTAACATTTCCAATGTTATATTGTAATATGTATATATGTATTACTTGAGACGATATATGATAAAACCATTGTATATTTAAATAGCACATAAAGATATTGATGAAAATTTGTATAATTATGCAAATAACTTTAATAGACAAGTGAATGAAGTCTGTAATATCATTATACAAATTTGTTTTTGCAATTATTTCATAATGAGGTAACATATTTCCAAGATGATTGGACTTAATAAAAAGATTAAACTTGCATTTTTTAAACGTATATTATATACTTGATGTATTACATGAGCGTACTACACAATTTTCAATATGTGAGAAAAAAGATGCCAAAGTATATATTTTTGAGATCATGTTCTGTGACAGATATCTTATATCTTTGAGTAATAAATCAAGTTGTTTTGAAAATGATTTTTTCTTTGAAATTATATGGATTATATTTAACCTCCTACAATTAAATATTATTATATCTTTTATATAAATAACAACAAAAAATATTTTTTTTTGGTATATATTATTTCTTTTTTAATTATTTCTATTTAAAACTATGCAAAATATTCAAGCTTTAAATAAGTATTATATATGTATAAATTTAATTAGCATTACCAAGTTTACATTATACTTATATAATTTTTATATAACTAAACTATATAATTTTTTATATATGTTATTTAAATGTTGTTACATTAAGTTTAACGTGGGAAAATTATAAGTACCATTTAAAAACCTTAAAATGCAAATTTTGTTTTCAAGAAGTCTTAAATTTGATCATCTAAAAACATAATTTAAGAGTTTGAAGATTTAATAGAACTTGAGAAACAACAATTTGCAAGAATACAAAGATTTTGTCTTTCGAGAATGTGATTGCAGATAGTATTTGAATTAAAATGTTATAAATTGTGAACTAGCTTTCATACTATTGCTGGCTATTTATTTATAAATCTGTGATTACGTCATGTGCAGGGTCATCCAGTTGGACTGATAGGAGAAGATGGAGGGACCACGGCAGGAGCACTCAGTGATGGTGTTCAAGGGATTGAGTCATCTGAGCACCATAATCCTCCGGAAATGCTCGACGGACTTGATGGTAAGATCTGCACACATATATCCAACTTTACGACCAAAATTTCGTTTAGATTTAACATATTTCCTTTTTTATGTTTTGTACCAAGCCGTTCTCTGATCTGTGATTAACTTATGTACATTATGCGTGTTGAAAATTTTACTCGATATTATCTCAGATATTATCATTCGGATGGGCTTAAATATTAAACTTGTAAACAGTAATAAAAGATACGACGATTGTTGCATTATTCAACGTTTGTTTATTGTAAAACATCGCGCTTTATTCGCGAATCAAATTCGTCATTTTGCGCGTATCGAATGCTCGACGTCACGGGAAAAACTGTTTCGTCGTCAGTGTGTGGGAAATATGTTACATCTAAGAAATCGAGGGAGATTTGCATGCACGTATTTGCAAGGATTTGACACGAGTCGAGTCGTACGTAGGTGTCGTCCGAAGCGAGCATCCCTCTATTTCCAAATCTGGCAAGTGTAGTGAGTGTAACTTTAGAAAATGAAAGACCTTTATATATATATATATATATATATATGTATGTACATGTATATGTACATATATATATGCATACACACTGAGCTCTGTGTATATACATATATATATATATATAAAACTACATGTGTATATTACATGAACCCTTGGTGTTGTGGTGATGGTATCGTGCATTTGCTACGTCATTGTGGTAGTTTTAATTACGTGTGTTAATACATATACAGAAAGAAATAAAACATAACAAAACTCTCGTTGGTTTGGGACTGGTATCAGCAAATGGACTGTACTCCTATCTCATATCTTTTTTTTCTTTTTTTTTTTTTTAAATCCGTGTCCGAGATTGTGATGGTGTGTGGGTGCGTCTGGCTGAGTTCATCTCGCTGTTCTTACACGTGCACGTGGCGCGTGTGCGTGCGAATGCGTGATGCCACATTAACGAACTCCATTTGCGTGAATGCGTGTAAATGTGTGTCGTGTGTGCGAAATGAGATATGTACATACTTATGTCATATATATTATATATAAGACATATACATATATACAGCATATATACGTACACTGTGTGCACGTGCAGACGCAGATGTACGTATATATGCGATACTTCCATGGCGGGACTCTCTGTGCATGTCTTTATGTGCTGTTTTTATTTCCTATTCTCTTATATACCCTTTTGCCGTATCTTGCGTCACCGTGCCTGGCGATCTTGATCTTATATTCTCACGTCTCTCTTGCGCTGTTCGTTTCGATCTACACGAGTGAACGAGAATATTAGCAACAAAATGTGCAGTCGTTGCGCATCTCGTTGCGCAATCCGTCGTTTGCGTTAATAAAGTTGCCGGCCGCGGGCAAAAAAAATTCGTTACGTAAGACGTTTCCTATGCTACATTACTTGATACTACGAGATGGATATGAAGGTTAACGCGATTATACAAGAGCGAAGGATCCGAGGATTTAGTTATCCCGAAACTTATCCTAAAATTAGAGCTGAAGATGCCCCAATTAGATTATCAGATTCTAGAATTTGCTAATTCTCTAACTTGAGGATGTCCGTCGAGTCAGGGATTGCAAGATCCGAGGATTCAAGTTTCATATATGTAATCTATAAAAAGTATATAGGCGAATTTATCAGGTAAAATTTCACTTTTCGCGAAATATCTTCTATCATTCGTCCATTAAAACGTCACGCTTATTTATAGTCACGACTCTTATCCACTACGCATCGTCAATGCATTAATAATAGTCGCCAACAGCGGCAGCAGCAGCAGCAGCAGGAAGACCCTAGGTATCATTTTTTTCCTTCTAACGATTATATCTGAAGAAGCATACGCGATTAGACCGCTCGTTAAATAGATTCTGTTGCTAACGCTATTCTTCGTTTATCTTTTGCATCCTCGACCTCATAGCGATTTTGCCTTCATCGTCGTTGTCGTCGTCGTCGTCGTCGTCGTCGTCGTCGTCGTCGTCATCGTCGTAATCGTAGTCGGTGCCGCCGCTGTCGTTGATAGTTACTAGATTACGTACTTCTTGATTGCATATTCATATTACATCTAGTTAGCTGAAATGTTGCACGAGCTGCATTATGCAATAGTTGTCAGTGGTCGCGAGATGTGCGCGTTTGATCTCCGACGGAGCAATTTATGTATGGGCGGTGTTTAAGAGCTGGGGACAAAGTCGATAGTCCGTATCGCGATCTCCGTATACTGAGCGTTTATCGGGAAGTCGAATCGGCGAATCTCCTCGCCGGAATTCTCACACTTGAATGTTTATTTTTCATTCGATTTCCTTTTCAGTAGGTCAATTTTGACATCTCTTTTCTCTTTTCTTTCTCTCCTGTACTGTATTGTGACAGTATCTTTAGTCTCTTGGAACGCGGATGAAATGACAGTAGAATTGCGCTTTTTTTTTACATAGTATTGACATTTGCTACGAGTAGGTAATTATAGATGAGAAAAAGCACGGGGTGAAGTCTTCAATAGAATTGATCGATTTTCTGTCTTGTTTCGATAAACGCAAAGGAATTTCAATTTTTTTAATTATCATGTCCTAGAATCTTTCTATATTTTTTTTGTCTACATTATTTTTTCTCCGCATCAAGCAAGATTTTCATATATTTCCAGCGCTTATAAAAACAAGAAAGATCAAGCAATTCTATTTAATACATTATCCTGTACAAATACGAGTGTGGTGTTATGATATCTTCGTTGATTTTGAACGTATTTGAGAGAATTTCTTCTCTGCAACTATTTGACGTAGAGTGTAACTTATGGGAAGCATAAAGGATGTTCTATTTAACGTTATCATCGGAAATATTTCTTTTCGCAATGACAATTTCTTATATTAGAATAATAGCAAAATAAAAATATATGTTAAATGTAAAAACCAATTATTATAAATATATATTATATATAATATAGTGAAAGATTCTCTCTTGGAAAATTAATAAAATAAATTTTAACTTCACGAATTAGAGCAATATTACATTTTTGCAATATAAATTTTTGTGATATTTTTTGTGTTTAATGATCAATTAAAATTTTATTAATACTTAAACATTGTTATCGTTGTCGATTAGCAAAATAATTTTTTCTAAAATAATATTTGCTCCAAAAAATTATTTTATAGAAAAATTACATCTTTAAATATTTATATAATTTTTGCATTTTACAATGAAAAGGTAAAAGCTGTAATAAAATATTTGCATTTCAAACATTTTACAAGAGAAATTACATTTATGCTCATGGCAGTTGGTAATTCTGATAATAAAAAAGGATTTGACATTTATTTTTGAGATCTTTTATTTTATAATTTTACATTTGTACGCTTAGTTACACAATTAACAAAAACATGTATACGTATAATTTTTTTTAAAATTAATTAAAGAGTTTGAGATTGAGACATTAGACTAGACATTGCACAAAGAAATAAAAGAAATTGAGAATGGTAACGGGAATCGATCATCTACGTATTTTGGGATGATAATTGTAGACACAGTTGGCATCGTTAATTAATTATGATGAATTCATCGAAACAGGACCTTGTATTCCAGGAATACCGCTTTGCAAAAGGACTTGCAAAAAGGAAATAAGTAAAGACAGTCACAATAAGTTAGAGCACACGCAGATCGGTATGGAGCGCTGTAAGCAGTGCGGCAAGAGCGTAGCCAACATAAAAAAGCACATGAAATCACACAACCCCGACAAGCACGTATGTCAAATATGTTTAATATCGTTGACCAGGTCTGACAACTTGAAAAGACACATTAAGTTGAAACACGGCATACGAGGTTCCTTGATATTGCCGTTTATGCGCATGGAGCAAAAGCTTTTCGAAAAATCCCAGTCGGCTCAATCTCAGTCGGCTCAATCTCAGCCGTACTCACCTTAGTAATTATTGCATTGCATAAACACAGTGCAAAGTGTATTAACCGCAGATTGTGCGAGGATCTTTGAATCAAATCTGTCAGGAACTCGATTACTGGCATTATTGGAATGCTATCATTTAAGATATTAGAATACCTTAAATTATTGCATAGGTATATACAACGGTCCGTTTCGCGCCAAAGAGACAGCAAATTACAGGACCGTGTCTCTCGATATATTGCACTCATCTTTAGGTCTTTCCGATACATGGATCTTCTGATTCATAGATCCTCACACTCTACATACATAATTTAACGTTTATATAATTTATTTTCCTATCGTGTCAAATATAAGCCTAGATTCGCGTATATACGTTCGCAGAGCACTAGAAACTTGTGCTCATGTCATTTCACACGTTAATTAGTATTAATCATGACGATTGATATATCGCACGAAGAACCGTCTTCGTCTAGTTGTATTCGTGACAATTACATCGTGTGCGCGTGCGTCTCTTTGATTTATAGAATACTATTTAAACTAAAATTAAATCTATTTATTCTTGTGCGTTTAGCTTCTAAGTATTTAATTTTAATAGATAAGACGCGGAGGTTTCTGATTCTGATAAGGGAACGGTCGGGAACTCACCGTTCATCACGATTTTGTTTTAGATGTGTTGTAGAGCATCGTAAAACATTAGACCCACATTTTTTATCTGATTATCTCAAGGTTGAAATAACCTTTCAAAAATAACAGAGTTTTTTCAATATTAGCAAATATCTTCAAAATAAGATTATCTATATGAAAAAAGTTTTTATACAAAAATGCTCAGGGTTGGGAAATTGCTTTATAAAAATAACTTGTTACAGTTTTTTTCTTTGAAAAGTAATTAGTTACAGTTCCAAGTTATCAAGACTAAAAATTAACTCGTTACAATTACAGTTACTAAAAAAGTAACTTTTCAGTTACTTTTCTGTTATCATGACAGAACAATATGAATAACATCGATATCATTAGGGATATCAAAGAAAAAAATAATTTACGTGTACAATTTACTGACCAATCAAAAAATATTTCGGAGCATTTGTAGCATTAAGTGGACCGTAGCCTTAATCAGTATTTAAATTTTACTCAATTACATTAAATTGATAAATAAGTTTA